CTTTTATGTTGTGAGTGAAAACAAATTAGCAAAGTATAGTTTTGAGGTGACTAAATTCTCCAGAAAAAAGACTTTTTATCTTCATCAACGGTAAAGTAGTATGAAGTTGGACAAACCAAGAAAATAAAGGGATTCCTTCTTTCTGTGGTACAAGTGAGAAATCTACCCAATAATTATACTAGTAGGATAACTAATATTATAATCGGCAGCCTGTTTAGAAATTCATTCAATTCAATAAGTATTTTTGAGCACCAGTGTGTTAGTTCAGTCCTGATACATGTGTACGTTATGGATTGAATTGTGTCCCCAAAATACGTGTTAAAATCCTAATCCCTATACCTATGGCTATAACGTAATGTAATGTAATTACCTTCCGTATGATGTTGATGATGCTAGACCATTAGGGTGTGTCCTAAACCTAATCACTTCTGATTTATAAAAAGAGTATATTAGATACAAAGACAAGCACATACTGGGGAAGACAGATGACATGTGAGGATCTCCAAGGAACCACGAAACACCTGGGGCTACTGATAGAGAAGGAATCAATACAGCCATGACCTTGATTTGAACTTTTAGCCCCCAGAACTGTGAGAAAATAAATTTCTATTCTTTAAAGTCACCCACTTGTGGTATTTGTGTTATAGCAGCACTAGGAAATTCAGTGCATTTTATAATAAATCACTAAATCATAATTTTAATAGAAAAATAATATAGACTCCATAGCATGCTTCCTAGACCAGTTTAGACACTTTTCTTAGAAAAAAACATCAATGTCTTGTGGGACATGTATTTTAAATTGCTGATGGTGTTCAAATATTTTGTGTCAAGCACTTAAGAATGTATTGAGTCTCACACGACCGTCACAGTGCTTGACCAACTATGAGGGCTACCAAAGACATTTAGACTTGATCCTTGCCTTCAAGAATTTACAATCTAGTTGTAAATAAGCCAAAAATATAAAAAACAATCTTCAAGAACTTAAAGAATGAACACAATTAAGTGTTAGATCATTGTGGAATAGATTATGAGTGTTATAAAACTTCAGCGAGGGTAAATCAAGTTGTGTCAGAAAGCCTCCCAGCAGAAGTGGATCTTGTGTAGAGTTATGACTCTGTCTTTCAACTCAT